ACACGGGTAGGTGACAAGATAAGAGCCCCTATTGAGAGTAGAAACTAGTCAAAGTCAATGTCGCGACTTCGTAAACCAGTCCTAGTTGGACTAAGGACTACATGGGTAGGTGGTTTAGCATGAACAACTCCTATTGAGCGTAGAAACGAGTCAAGGTCGATGCTGCGACTTTGTAAACCGGTCTTGAAAGAGATCAGGGACTACGTGGGTAGGTGGTTTGTCATGAATAGCTTCTATTGAGTGTAGAAACAGGTCAAGGCTGATGTCGCGACGTCATAAACCAGTCTCGACAAGAGATTAGGGACTACACGGGTAGATGAACAATGAAGAATCACTTGGATCATCGTTTAGACCAAAGGAAAGTCGTGGAAACCTACTAGGAGAAGATGAGAGCCTACAAGTAGGTTGCTTACCACCAAAGGAAAGAAATTTATATGGAAAAGAGAAATTGACAGAAAAAAATCCTTATACACTCTTGGGTAAGCTTGAAATGTGAAGAAAGGGACTGCAAGACATCATAATTCACATGCAACAACAGACATACAACAACACCACCAACAACTAGACTAATAGCAGATTTATAGTAGCAGCATTTCCAAGTTTTTGGAGAAAATTTTAAAAGAATGGAGTCGCAAAGAAAATTCACGATGCCTAAAGATAAGGGAATTCTCTGAACACACCCTTTACAATCTTATTTTCTTGTTTTGAAGCATGCATCCATATTTTGTTGTCTATTTTTATTTTTGTTGACTGCATATAATTTTGATTGATGTCCATGCATGCACCCTAGAAACATGAAGTTTTAGGAAGGGTAATAGATCATGCATTTTTTCATATGTAGTAATGATGTTTTGTGCAAGAACTAGGGATGTATTGTCAAATGCTTTGATGGATAAATAAAACAGTGAGATGAGTGGTGTGTTTTTCTAAAAGAACAAAAGGGGTTAAGGAAATTGAAGCTCAAATTGAAGAGTATTCATAAAGTTAAAGTGAGGATCCAATCTATTATAATCCATCTTAACCCGCAAGAATTCCCATAATTCACCCAACCTTTAGATCATTTTCCCAACAAAAAATAATAACCAAGAGCTTCTGCTCCTCAAACTACTTTCAAGAATGATTTCACACCCACATCAATGCTCATTGAGGATAATGGCTAGTTTAAGTTTGGGGGTATTAAAGCAACTCTATCATCCAAAAAAAGAAAATCGTACCTGAGACCACTCCTCTTCAACCTAAAGCTTGAACTCTCAATGCTAAAAAAAAAAAAGTGGAAGGCAAACATATTGTCTCCATTGCTCGTTGTCAGAAAATCTGCATCACCAATGGAGGTGTCACGAATCGAAGATAATTAAGATGAAAAAAAAAAGAAAAAAAAGAGAAATTTTCCTTATTGTTCAGGTGAGTTGCATCACAAATGTGGCCACACTGAAAACTACAAGATGCTAGCAAGAGAGTCGAGTTAAGGGAGAATGAGTGTTAGTCTATGTAGTCATCTCTTGAAGACTTAGGTGATTTGCACCACAAGTGGAGGCACCCAGAGAAAAGAGGAATGACTTGAAGATTCTTAGGAGAGAAAAAAAATTGTGTTATGATAAGAGAAAATGAATGAAATAAATTGTGAAGAGGGTCATTGACTACCCAATGAGTAACATCCTATGTGGACTACTTATTCCTTTTTCAGCCCCAGAGGGGAACCCATGCTTAATATAGAAGAAAAAAGAAGACCAAGAGGAGAGGGACACACTTTGGGAGAGAAAAATCGGATTAGACAACAGTGCCTTTGCTGCTGTGAACTGCTGTGAAACTAGAGAAGAAGAAGAAAAACCCTAATCCAGCAGCTGTTGACAACAGAAGGAAGAGAAGACCAAGAAGGAAAGATTAGGACAACGAGGTGGACGTGAGAGCTCAAGGGAAGAGAACTTCCATTGAAGAATGACAACAAAGCTAGATAACTCTCTATTTCCTTACTCTCTTTTCTTACTCTATCAATTTTATATGATTAAGAGGTGGGTTCCTCTATTTAATTCAGTTTGTATGGAGAGCTAAATCTTATTGGGGAGGCGAGAGAGTTTTATATAGTTTAAGTATGTTGACGGTATGATTTTAGTTTATTAAAGAGTTGTTAATGATTTGCATGTGTGTTTAATTAGCTACTTTACATATATAGTTGTTCTCTTATTCGAGAGAAGAGAGGGAGCAATGAAATCCTCCTTAATACTCTAGTTTCATAGCAAGGATACTTGAAGGGTAACAGAAGGGTTAGGAATAATTCTTATCCGACAGGTTTGTTAATAGAAATTACAACGATTATGAAAATAATTACCATTCATGCCCTCATAAGTGGGCTTTTGAATTTATTAAAATGAACTAAAATCTACCACAAAACTCAACCACTTATCTATTTATTCTCTCTTAGCCGCAGAACCTTCCTCATTATATTTGATTTTCTCATCATTTTCTGTTTTTCGACAGTAGTGGCACTCTATTTTAGTTTTGATTAAGTAGTTAAAATCACCAACACCCATTTGAATCTTACCTAAAAACTCACTCAATTTCCAGGAATAAAATTAACCAAAAAGATAGGTTTCTTGTGGAATCGTTAATTTACTTATTACTTGCTATTTGTGATAGTGTATACTTGCACTTATTTTTGTGAATTTTACATCATTTTATTATATACAACCACAAGCGATCACTAATCTGTAGCGACATCCGAAGGTCAGCGGAATCCCATAGTGTCATGCTCCCCATGAACACCCTGCTCGTCATATTGTGCACGTCAACACTCATCATCTCTAGAGGAAGTATCCCTATGCTTATTAACATATAATATGCATGAGGTCCCTCTAAGTTCATCTTATCGTCTCTTCTGACACAACCCTCTAGTCTCATCTCTATGTTACATTAAGTAACACATGCTCGTTGGATATTTATATTAAAATCATTTTCATGCTCTTTGGGTTGTGTTCTACGTCTGTCTATCAACATAATGCAATATGACACTCATCATCATATAGCATGCTTAATGTGAAAAACATCAACATATTAAGACAAACATCATGCAATCATCATACTCATCATATCGCCATAAAGTGCATATAGCATATCAAGTATGTCATACATCAACTACATATATTACGCACATCATCAAGTATCATAATTCATACATCATCATATACTAATATACGACATCATACGATACAAATAATACATTATTATAACTCATACAATTTTTGACGTATCTTATAATAAGATCACTTACTTGATTAGCTTAAGCTGATGTCACAATTTATATTTGATGAAAGTTTGATTTTGTCATATGTATCGAAGTCAACCTATGTAAACCCATGACATCAATGTCAAGTTTAATTCTCTACATTTTACAATAGTACATTTGCTAGACTTCTTGCGAGCGTTAAAAACTTTGCACGAGTAGAGTCTTGAATATTATATATATATATATATAAATCAATATCCCATTTTCTATTATTACTATTATTTTCTGGCAAATATATGTGCCCAAAGAATTTGATGGAGTTATTTTAAGCACATAAAAAAAAATTGACATCCGTTCTTCTTTTAAGAGAAAATGATAACAAAAGTCCAAATAATTGAAACAATATAAAAGCAAAAGAAGATCTAACTTGGGGATAAACTTTTATCTCTTACTAAGAGTTCTATTGGTCAATTTTAATAGATTCTTACTTTTTTTACCATTTTAATATTGATGATCCTAACTTTTTCTAACAAATAAAATAATAACAAAAATCTAAATAATTGAAACGGGATGAAAGAAAAGGAAGATCTAACCTGCCCATAAATTTTTCTCTCTTTCCTCCATATCTTTTCTGTTTCATCTTTTCTAAGAATGGATACATCTCTCTTAGTAAAATTTACCATTTTTGTTTTCTTTTTTAGCATAATTGACGATACATTGTGTGGAGAGATGTTGAGGAGAGATATTCCCGAGGGAGAGGTGAGTGAGATTTGTGTTCAGTTACAATTTTATTATTATATTATTATCTTTTTTATTTTTTTTACTATCCTTACATTATAGATGGTATAATGGAAATGAGAAGCACAACAAGGGATTCACTAAGTTGCATAAAAACTTGCCCTTCTATTGGATCTTTGGTGCTGGCCATTTTGTAAGCTATTTATTCTATTTATAATTTTTTAAGATTTAATACTTTTTAATTATATGATTATAAATGTAGGTTCCCGTGGATCAATCGTGTGTGACATTAAATATGGTGGATGCAATCACACAGCAGCATCTTGATGCAGTTGTTTTTCATAGAAAAAAAAGACATATTTACTTTTTCAAATGTAAGAAAATATGTTTAATTATAGATAAAAAGAAAAAAATAACAGATGTATTACATATATTACACACATCATCATACGACATAACTCAAACATCATCATATACTAGTATATGACATCATACGACACCGCTTATACATCATCATAACTCATGCATCATCATGGCTCATACATCATCATATACTAGTATAGGACATCATACGATACAACTCATACAATTTTTCGTCTCTCCTATAGTAAGACCAGTTACGTGATCAGTTAGTTTAGGCTGGTGTCACCAATTTATCATTAATGAAAGTTCGATTTTGTCCATTGTATCCAAGTCAACCTATAAGAATCCATGACATCAATTTCACATTCAATTCTCTAAATCTCACAATGGTCGATGTAGCGCCCCTAATTTTCTAAACCTAATTAGTGATGTCACCCATGCAAACATAATTCATTACGCTGAAGCTCATCATAAATAACCTTGGAAACAAAGCAAAGTCTTTCACAAAGATTCATAAATCCAAAACAACCTATCTCCAAAAGTAAACCTTCAATAACGGAATTCTAAAATAAATCTAAATAAAGCAATACTCAATGCTATAACTTAAAATAGTCCATGTAAACTCCTAAAAAAAATATCCCATCCCCAACTTCCATGGTGTCCTCAGCTCCGCGGTCAACGTACATTGGCGTCTTGCCTTTACCTAAAAAATGTATGTAGCACATGACTTGAGTATTTTATGAAAACTGAGTAAGTCACCCTACTGTTGGGTTAGGAATGCAAACACATGCAACATATGAGCGGAGCCTAACTTTTCATAAACTTTTCATAGCGTTGGACGCTTTTCTATTCCGGTTAGGGTTGGATGTGTGGTACTCCTTCACACATGGCCCATGTACGTGTACATGGACCCACCAGGCGGGCTCATATACGTACCCCCTGGGCCTAGCTTGGTAGGGCATAACGTATTACACGTCACCAAACAACACAGAACAGAAAAGGGCCCGCATGATATCATGACAAACATAAATATCGTAATTCATTCTTTCATATCATAAAGGGGAAGAATCCCAATGCACATGACATACATATATGCATGAGGTCCCTTAACATATCTAACATGACATTACATAAGGAGTGCTAACATCGCATATACCTTTCTTACATTACATGGCATCTCATATGACTTACATTACATGGTATATTACATAACATGAAAGTACATTTTAGTTTCATAAGCATCTCATGACATGACTCAAGAATACAACGTGTATACATGACATCGATCAACCTTTTCATGACATATATTACCAACATATCATTCATAACTTCACATAACATAAACAGTCAATAGTCAACATAATCCATATATTTCATAACATAAACAATCGATAGTCAACACAATCCATACATCACATAGTCATATCACATAAATATGGTGCATGCAGGGGCCATAGGGCACGCACCATCATACAACACGTAGTAAACTAACTCCAACAGTAAGATCACTTACCTCGATGGTTTTGGTTGAAGTCACTCACAACGAGATAATCCCAGCGGTTAAATATGTCCTATGATAACCACATAAAAGCTTGGGAACCTTTCATAAATAGCTAAACCTCATGCTATTTATCAAAATAAACCCCCGACCTAATCTGTCTTTAATATTTAGGAACCATACTGACCTCGGATGGTAAAACTAAGGGCAGAAACGACTTTGGAAGGGTCAAAAACCTTGGAATCAATATATTATAGTGATACTGAGTCACCAAGCCGAGCTGCGGGATTTGACGAAGCCGAGCCTCGGGTCTTGACGGAGCTGAGCCGCCGTACACGTCAAGCCGAGCCGAGAGCACGCGTGCGGAGCCGAGACCAAGGCTGCAGCGTGTCACGGTCATGCTCGTTCAAGGCATGTTGCCAATGGCCGCATGCTCATGACAAACCCAACCTTTCATGTCTTTTCATATTCTAGTGTTTTACTTTTGTATTTCTAGAAAGTATGACATTTTAAAAATATCATGTCTAGGTCTGTCAGACATGAAATACCTCAGAATGTACTATAGGGGGATACGACTAGTTGTCAACTTCTCCCTACCCAAGGTTATATACTGTAAGCTGTTGTTATTTCTCTTTTGTTTGCTTATATTATTGGATTTTATGTCCTAAAACTCATAGTTTGTAAACAAAAACATATTCTATTTTCAATAAAGTTATTATTGTTGTTTATTCAGTAAAGATTGTTATTGAATAAAGTGAACTTTATGATCATTAATCTAAATTCAATAAACTAAGAACACTCTGGCTATAGTATGATTACTTGAACTATATGTAGAGACATAATAATTGATCAAGTTCAAGTATATAGTCAAAATGATCTATAGTATAAGGATAAGGTTGAGTACCTTATTCTAGGGACACTATGGATGTGACTCACTTTTGTATGATATAAACAATGTGATCCCTAAAAATGTATATGTGAAGACATGTGAGTGGGGGCGTCCTATGCAATGAGTATTGCATAAGATCGGACCATGAAGAAAATAACTCTCACTTTATAATGTCATTTACTGTTGAGACTGATTTTCTTTTGATTTCATTCGATGACCTAGGTAACTCGATCTTAATCCTGAGCTAACCATGAACTCCTATTTATTCGAAATTATCCTTAGATTTGCATGGGTGAGAGTGGCTCAAGTTCGCCGACTCAATAGGCCTCCCATTTCAGCTGTAAGACTGGGTAGATAGTTGGGGACATGGGATGCAAGATGGAATTCACTCCTACCCACTTTTAGGGAGAGAAGAGAGGTAGTTCCCTTAAGTACTAACTTCAGGTCTTGAACAAGGGGCCCCACCCTCTCATTGGCCTGAGAGGGATTCGGTTTACTAGTTGGACCACAAACCAATTGTTAACTAGAGGACCAGTGAGACATAAGAAACAAGAAGTAACTTCAGGGGTAAAACGGTAAATTGACCCAGCTCTAGTTACGAACAACCTGTGAAGGATCGACTTACTTATCATGGTTATATCAAATGGACAAAAATATATCTATAGTGAGGGGAGTGCAACTACTAGGCTATAGTGGAATGTCCTAGTAGTTAACGAATGTTGGTTAACAAGGTTAATGAGTTTAACTGGTTAATCTTGGATTGTTGGAGCTCATGATCTATAGGTCCATTAGGTCTCTCTGCTAGCTCATATCGGACTAAACCATAGAATAGTGTGACGAGTGAGTTCGAAGTGTTCGAATTAAAATTAGGGAGAATGCACTACATATATACGATATATTTAACCGCATTTTTGTTATATTTACGAATTAAACAAAAAGAGAGAATCTGAGATATTTAAATAAGATTTAAATATCTTAATCAAATATGTGTTGGAATTAATTGTGATTGATATTTGAATTAATATTAAATATTAATTAAATAGTTTAATTAATCCTTTAATATTATTTTAATTTGAAATTAATAATTCAAATTGATTGTTGATTCAAAATGAAGAAAGTCAACCGGTTTACTTCATTTAATGAAAAAATCCATGTTAGTAGAATTTTGAGGTGTCAAAATTTGGTTTAACCAAACTTGCATGCTTGCCAAATAAACCCCACCAATTTGAGTGGAATTTTGAGTATCAAAATTTGGTTAACTCAAGCATGCTTGCTACATAATCCCAAACAGTTGAGTGAAATTTTGAGTACCAAAATTTGGTGATCTCAAATTTCCATGAACATGCAAACATGACTCTATAAATAGAGTGATCATAAAACATGAAAGGTCTTCTTCTTGGTGAAAAACCTTGAGAAAAACCTCTTACAAACACTCTCTTCATATATACAAAATCCCTTCCGAGTTTAGTTACTCACCGGATTCCACAATCTCATTCTAAGGCCGGAGAATAGTGGAGAAGACACTAGTGGTGGTTCGAAACTGGTTCGTGAGGAAAAAAAAATTTGAACTACAAAAGGTTAGTATTCAAACTCATTAAGTTTTAATACTTATGACCATGCTAGTTATTTACTATAATTGATGTTCTAAAAGTGCCTAAGATCCAAATTGCTTCCGCGTGTGTTATATTAACACCATCATATATAACGTCTCTTTCAAAAATCTCTTTTTCAAAAATCTCTCTCTGCCCTCGTTTTCTAAAACCTTCTTTTAAAATCGAGGCCAGAGGCTCGATCATACGTCGCTTGACCGTAGGCGACGTAAGAATGAATTGACTTAGCTCGTTTGTCATTGGAAAGTGAGTGCCGCACAATCGCAAGTCCGCTGCCATTAAAAGTGAGGTTGTGACAAGTAGTATCAGAGCTTTGTAAACTCTATGAAATAGCAAAGACCGAAAACATGTCGATGACAAAGTCGACACCCAAATCACAAGCCGACCGGCTTACTTTAATAAAGGAGGAAATGTTGTTCCTCAAAGAAGTCCCTAACACCCTCCACTTCCTGGAAGCATGGGTGAAGGAATTGAGTGGAAAAGCCGTAGAGATCGATGCAATGGGTAACCGCTTGGATGGGTTGCCAATCGCAGAACTGATGTTTCGAGTGACCTCACTCAAAGAAAAAGTTGCTTCTACGAGCAGCCCAAGACCATCTGGTAGCCCCGATAGCTCTGTCACGCACAAGGAGGGATGTGGCGAAGAGTTCGACGTGCTATAAAATACAATAATGAGTTTGTTCAATGGATTAGCTGACGAATTCAAAACAACGATTGATGACATCCAAGAAAAGATGTCCGCCATGACCACCCGAATCAAGGTGACCATGAAAGCCGTGGAAAACGTCTCGGCTGGGCAAACTAATACAGCATCCAACAAACTGAAGTTCTCAGACCCTAGACCTTTTAAAGGGAACTGGGATGTCAAAGAGTTAGGGAAATTCATCTTTGATGTCGAACAGTACTTCAAAGCCACACCGGCTTGTACCAACGACATAAAGGTGACAGTAGCCTCGATGTATCTCATAGACGATGCCAAACTTTGGTGGCGTAAGAAGGTGCAAAACATCGATGATGGATTGTGCACTGTAGACTCGTGGGAAGACCTGAAGAGAGAGTTGAGGGATCAATTCCTCCCCGAAAACGTAGACCATCTAGCAATGGAAAAACTAATAGCCCTAAAGCAAACTAGAAGCATAAGGGACTATGTCAGACAATTTTCGACCCTAATGCTAGATATCAGGGGCACATCAGAGAAGGACAAGGTGTTCTTCTTTATAAATGGGTTACAACCTTAGGCCAAAACAAAAGTACACAAGAAAAAGATCAAAGACCTAGCTACCGCAATTGCCAGCGCCGAGAGACTCCTAGACTATGGGAACGAAGCGGGTTACCAAAGAAAAACAACACAGACCCTAAACACTAGGGGCAAAACATATAAGCCGCTAGGTCATCGAAATGGAAGCCCCAACAGGCCTAACGGAAGTAACGACAGACCAAGCGGGTGGACAGATAGACCTCCTCAGAACAACCAAGCGGGGACATCTCGAGGACCTTACCCTCAAAGGAACCACCAGACGACACCTTTACAATGCATATTGTGTAAAGGCCCCCACAAAGTGTCCTACTGTCCTCATCGGGCCTCTCTCACTGCACTCCAAGTGTCCATTCAAGAGAGCAACGACACAAGAGTCGAGACTATGCTAGACAAGAAGGAAGATCAAGACAACCCTGAATGGGCGCTCAAATTCTTGTTAGCCCTCCAACGGAAGGTCGACCCGAAAGAGATAATAGAGAAAGGGCTCATGTTTGTGGATGCGACAATAAACTCTCGACCGAGCAAGAGCACCTTGATAGACTCAGGAGCAACTCACAACTTCATCGTCGATCAAGAAGCACGAAGATTGGGGCTCACCATAGAAAAAGACCCGAGGCCTTGCCTATTGTGGGAGTTTCCAAAAGAGTCCCCTTCAAATTAGGGGCTTAGACAGGAGAGTTGAATCTTGTCGTAGTCTGCTTGAACGACTTTGACGTGGTACTTGGGATGGAGTTCTTCCTAGAACACAAAGTTATCCCATTTCCACTGGCGAAATGCTTGGTGATCACCGATCGCAACCCCACAGTAATACCTGCAAGCATCAAGCAGCCAGGTAATCTTAGAATGATCTCGACCATACAATTGAAAAGAGAACTCGCACGAGAGGAACCTACATTTATGACTATACCACTGATGGAAGAAGTGACCACTGAAGAAACTATCCCAGACGAAATCAAGGAGGTACTAGACAGTTATGTTGACATAATGCCAAAGAGCTTACCACAAACATTACCTCCCCGTTGAGGCATTGATCACGAAATTGAACTCCTTCCCGGGGTTAAACCCCCAGCGAAGAATGCATACGTTTATGGCTCCCTCTGAGCTAGCCGAATTGAGGAAACAACTAGATGAGTTGTTGACGGTAGGATTCATCCGCCCGGCAAAGGCACCTTACGGAGCCCCCGTACTATTTCAGAAAAAGAAGGATGGGACGTTGCGTCTGTGCATAGATTATAGAGCCATAAAACAAGGTGACGATACGCAACAAATACCAACTACCGATAATATCCGACTTGTTCGACCAACTCCACGGGGCCAAATACTTCACAAAGTTGGACTTACGATTAGGGTACTACCAAGTACGTATCGCCGAGGGGGACAAGTCCAAGACGACGTGCGTAACAAGATATGGGGCCTTCAAGTTCCTTGTAATGCCCTTTGGCTTGACAAATGCCCCAGCTACGTTTTGCACGTTAATGAACAAAGTTTTCTATGAACACTTGGATCAGTTCGTCATAGTATACCTCGACGACATAGTTGTATACATCACAACCCTAGAGGAACACATGGTGCACTTGAAGGTAGTATTTGACAAGCTGCGACAGAATCATT